CCCAAATCTTTCCCTACGAAAATTAAATACTTTTTAGTTAACGAAATAATCAGTTAAAACCGTTGAGATTACTTTGGAATTTAGAATATTTTGCCTTCAGTTTCACAGAAGGAACGCACGTACACCCTTGTTCGTTCATCCAGTCACTGTCGTCACGGCAAGAATTACAAAAACAGTAAAGGTAACCTAATGGCCAGATGCATTATCTATTTAGCCTTGGAAGGGCTCAAAGGATGAGCCAGGCCAGTTTCCAAGGTCATTCATTTTCTTTGTGAACTCTTCTTGTCACAGTAAATCATTTTTTTTAAATCGCGAAAACTAGATCAAGTATGCATTAGTAAAGAGGGTTCATATTCTGTAAGGCCTAACAATAGGATGGAAGATCAGGACCTGAAAGACCCAGTAACCAACACGCTCATTGGTCTTGTCCTCGTTGGGAATGTCTTGCTTTCGATTGCACGCATACATACACAGAGACAGACACAGGATATATAACACGTCTAGGCTTTTCTAGGAACCGAGGCAATCTTACTTTTGAACTCAACTATAGGCTCCTCTCTCCGTTACTCCTGACTTTCTACTGCTACTCCTGGGTTCCTCTTACTCTTACTAACACTGCTGTCTTTCAGCTACACCCCTGATCTTATATATGATTGTAAAGAACGAACTCGAACACCTGGCCATCTCGGATAACAGCTAAAAATCTCGGAGGTCCCGCGTGCAAGTTGCGCAGATTAAGGGTTCCTTGGTGGTCTTAAAATCGATAAATACGAGTAGGCTTCGAATGCCACTTGGACAAAATTCAAATTTAATTCATACCAAACTGAAAATACTCTAGTCAGTATATCAAAAAATATAAGAATACCTTCGAAGTCGGAATGTGGCTGTCGAGAGGCAAGGGTACAATGACCTATGAAGTGGGGGAAAACGGTCACGTTAGTAAAAATCAGTTGCACAGCAGGTTGAAGAACCAGCAGTCGGCTACCCCCGAGATCTCTAGCAGGGGAGCAAAAAGAAGAAAAAGAAAAAAGAATCTACCTAACGGCATTTCTAAGCCCCACCCACATTTAGACCCCCCCCCCCCCCATCACCGTCAGCCAAACACGCGCCTTTGAGGAATTTTGAACCAGTTATTGCACGGTTGGTTTTAAACTTAAATTTTTTTTTAAACGTGTCGGAATCGAAGACTTAAGTTTGACTTCGAAATGCGAATCCCACATGAGCCAGAATTTTATGTTTACTTTTCGGAAATTCTGTACTCGGCCTGGTGCCTTTTGCTCTGGAGGCGTGGTCAAGGAGAGCGTGGGAGGAAGGAGGAAGATAACCTGTGCTCCTTTGGCGAGTATATACTCCGAGTAAGCGCAAAACTTCAAATTTTGAACGTTGGGGTAGGACAAAAAGAAAGAAAGAAAGTAGTTGTTAATATTTTGCTCCCCCGCCCCCAAAATATAAAAATAAATAAATCTAGATCAATAAATTAATTAATAAATTATTATTTTTAAAAACCAGTCACATAAAATTGAATGTATTAATTCATTGGGAGTCGGGATGCTTTAACCAGTTTACGGCTCCGCGATTCAAAAGCGGCTCACTTTCTTGTCAGGTACCAACCCAGCCAGTGCGGCGAAAATCCACGACAAAAACGAAAAATTCGCAAGAAGTCGAAGTTGAAGACTGGATAAAAATCTTCTCCACGTGAGAACTGGGTTCATGCCCATCAGAAGCAAGGCACACACCGGTAGGCCTTTATTCAGCAGTTACACCACACACACACACGCCCCCCCCCCCCCCCCCGGCACCACACACACACACACACACACACACACACGTACACATGCTCACAACTCTCTCTCTCTCTCTCTCATTCATTTCACACACACGTACATAAAAAAAAAAACATACTCATAACTTCGTCTCCACCTCTCACCATCTTTCTCACACACCTGAACACAAATGCTCACACACACAAACACACACGCACGCATGTAGGCCTATGCACGATAGCGCGCGCACACACACACACACACACAGACACACACACACACATACGTCGGCTCCAAATCTTGGAGAATCGAACACGGCACCTGGCCTTCATAACTTCACTGTACTGTTTTTCTGCACAATTGTCTTCTCCTTTTTTACTCTTTTTACTAGTCTTACGTTTGCCGGCAGGAGGAACCGACAGTTCCACGGCCTGGTTCACGATACTCAGAAGTCACACTTCCCAAAAAAGCTTGTTCAGTTGCGCAATACAGAAGGAACATCTTTACACTACACCATATATATATATATGTCTTTTCCTTGTTTCAACCCAGAACACCTAACAGCCTTAATACGGTACTAAGACTTAGTAGAAGCATGACAATGCATAACATCTAGAATCTTTGAGAACTTTTCATCAGAAAAGAGGAAAGAAAAAACTTGTTTTTTTAATTGTCGTTTGGGGGTAAAAAAACTAAGACAAATGTAGAGCTTTCCTTGTTTCACCGTGAGTCAACCACTGACTAAATGCCCCCCAAAAATGAACAAGCAAACAAATAAAGCAAACGAAGCAAAACAAGAACCTCGACGAATTGTACCTCTACATGTAGGCCTATATGAAAGACAAGAGGCTTAAGTTGGTTGCTTTTAAGGACAAGTGGGCTATCCCGAAAAATGCTGTTTTGAGAAAATTGAAGGTAAAACAGCATTTTTCGGGATAGCCTTCTTGTGCTTAAAAGCGACCATTTATACTTGTATGATGAACAAATAGATGTTGAATAGTAAAGAAGGAGCAAACCACACCAAAGCACCCACCAACTACCCACTTTTGACAGGGGACCCTTCACCCAGATACCAAAGTGATGAAAAAGAAAGGGCAATTTTTTGGCAGAAGAAATACTTTACATAATTCAGATTATTTTGGAGCCGGGCTGCTTCAAGACCAACCCAGGCAGTTTGAGAAAAATCCGAGGAAGAAGGCTTACTTCCCAGGTAAAACATACACCGGATTATAACAGTCAGTATAACACAGATAGAAGGTAGAACACTGTGTAACACAGAAGACTCAAAAACATGCAACCGTCGGTTCTGTTTTTTTTTCTTGTTCTCTAAAATATTCCTCAATAGACTACGGATCCCTCAAACTACCGAGGCCAGTCCCTACGAATTTGAGGTATTTGTGCTAAACTGTATCTAGTCTTTCTTCACCATGGTGCGACCAAGTGAGACTCAGAGAGAGTCACATTCACATCTTTTGCCCATTTTTATAATACATTAGTTTATTTTTTAGTGAAAAGAAGCACATTGACACAATAAATTCAATAACGGGTATTTAGTCCAGGGAAAAAGGAAGACAGAGAAGAACAATAAAGAGAAATAAAAGAAACAGGGCCTACTAGTGGTGCCCACCAACAACCCACTTTCCACCTGTTAAAAAAAAAGTCCTGCCACTACACCACCAGCAGCAGCCCATGAAACTTTAAACACAAATCTCAACACAAAACTTACCGAAAAAATTGATGAACAAAAACAGTATGTGACTCAGTTTCTACATAGTATACAGAATTTATTTTGTGAGATTCAACACTGACAGCATCTCATTAAATATATATAGAGAGACAGTGGTCATAGTAGTCATACACAAAGGGACAAAATCTTTTACGTGGAATAGCAAAAAAGCCAGGCAAGAATGCAAAGTGTCAGCAGCACAGGCAAGAAATAGACTACAGACTGACCACAGATGTTTCATGTCCGGACAGAAAGTAGGCACGGTACTCACTCTGGACAACGCTGCACCACTTTAGTCCATTAAAAACTATGTGCACACACCGGAATCTTTCTTGACCAGTCCGATTATTTCAACTGGTCATTAATCCTAATAATAAACTGCTACAGTTTACTGTGTTTTATTTTTCAGTTCACATAATTTCATAGTCGCTCAAAGATTATATTAATCCATAGTTTTAGAAATAGAGAGAGGACGTATGCTCGATTAACGAGTCACAGATCATTATCATGTGTATATATATATATATATATATATAATATATATATATATATAAATTTTATTTATTAGCTGTGGTCAGTTCATTAAAATAAATATAACGGAGCATTACTCAGGAACAAAAGGTACTGGGCACTTACAGCTAAACCTCCACCTCATTTTCACATCGACTTCTCTGGCTCCTCATCACACTCCATCATGGGGTCCATGTGCATCTCCTGGTGACCCGGACTATGACTCAATTGATGGGGACCTGAACCTCTCCCTCCCTCAGACACACCCGATCCACCCACCCCTCCAACCAGCGAGGTCCGATGCGGGTGAGCATCCTGTCCAATTGTCCCACCGTTTCCCACCCCATCATCCTCCATTCCATCCGACGGGTGAGAGAAGTGGTGCGAGTCTACTAGTTTATCATCCCCTGCACGGCACAACGTTGGGGTTGGCGGGGGAGACGACAGGCTGTAGTGTGCTGCGACCGTCACTTCCTCCGCACCGATCAGCTCCGAATCGGGAAGATGGAGACAGTCGGAAGTCATGTCTTTGTCTGTGCTGCATCCCGAGCTGACGTACTCCGACAGCCCCATCTGAACGGCGGATTGGTGCAAGTCTTCCGAACCTGTGACTTCCTCATGGTGAGGGTAGTCGGCGTGAGTTATGTGCCCTGCATAGTCCACCTGCGTGGTCACGTAGCTGGCATGAGTTACCTCCTCGTGGTCCAGGATGTCGGTGGCGTACACAATGTCACCGGGAGCCCCGCCTGCCTCGTACACACCAGCTTCTGACAGAACCAACAACTCATCAGACTTGTCCGGGAGTGATCCTTCCTGGACACCTGCAATGACAGCCAGAGGAAGATGTTTTGGTAAACAGTGGAGTTGAGGCTATGTCTTACAAAAAAGGGAAACATCACAATGTGTGAAGTGGGAAGGAAAGAGGGTTACTTTCGCTGATATTTTTTGAAATTGTAAAAATATGTTTTACACCTCAATTAACATATTTTTGATCATTCATTGCGCTGACACGGAGACCTTCAAGGAAAATACTTCCCATACAAGATTCAAATTCGTGCCTTCTGCATGCAATAGTTAAGAGCCTAGCTATTTACACTACAAATGCGGGTGAAGAAATTTTTCATAATTTATGGAGCACAGCATGTCTGATAAGGCCACGACAAATGGTACAACTTAAGCAGTTGTTTACCCCTAGAGACTGAACTTGAAGAGTTACATAAATTTATATCCATGCCAAATGTTTTCCCTTGTTGAAAGGGTGAAGGGTCTTTCATGGTATTTTGAAAGCATCCAAGCAGATGATCATCAATGTCTGTTCCAGATCTAGCACTTTATGATGATGAGGTCATTCACACCCTTATCAACTGGACTGAGAGGGATATATCCCAGCAGAAAGACCAAGATATAATAATATGTTAAAAATTCTCCCCATGTGGGAATGGAACAAAGGTCCTCTGCATGCGAGAGTGAAGCATCTCATCAAGAGTTGCAATGAATAAAATCTACTCAATGAAGGGCCATAAGAAAGCTTTCCAACAACTTGGTTCTCTAAAAATTCAGTAAGCTATAACAAGTACTTTATTTTGTGGCATGCTCTCTAAAAATTACAGAAAAACAGGGAAGAACTGTATCTACTAGTGGTGCTTTATAATTGGTGCTCAAATAAAAAGATGAGTAACAAGTTTCAATTAAACGTTTTAAATATAAAGAGTAAAAAAAAAAGAAAGAAAACTCACCATGCGTGTTCAGCAGGCTGCGAGCGAGAGTGTGCTCCATGGACTGCCCACTGACAGTGACAATGTGTTCACTCAAGCCATGAGAGAATACCATAGACTCTGATGTTGGCAAACCTGAAAAGATGAGAAAACTCTTAATAAAGTAATCAAATTACGGAACCCTTTGTTTACTACTGTACTCGAAAAGGACAGAACCAAATATCAGACAACTTTTTTACTTTTCACATAAAAATAATGTACCTGTTATTTTTACAAAATTATTTTTTTGTTAGGAAATAAAAACCATTTCAAGCAACTAAATATTACCAGAACCTCCCAAAAATTGAGCGTACCTATCATTTCCTGAAGTTTCAACCCCACCAAAATATATGCTATTTACAAGAGTCCCCCCCCCCCCCCCCCAAATCCTCTTTGTAAACTCCCTCGACAAAAAAGCAGCAGAACCAGTATAGAGATCTTTTATTTGACAAAAGTTTCAATAAAAAAGCATTTATTCCCAGTTTTTAAAGTTTTTATATAAAAGTATTACGGCACTTGCAACACAATAAAGTCATATAAGTGCTGAAGATTAGAGGTGTTACAAGTAGACCTGCATGTGAGCCTCAACCACATTGTCTGAAAATTTTGCACCCCCCCTCATAACTTATAAGTATAAGAGCTTTTAAATTGTGGGTGTCATAAAATGAAAGACTTCCGAGTAACGAGCGACCACCCGAACAAACACAATAACGAAGAGACCTAACCCTAACACAGACCCTACCCCAAAATAGAACCTGCAACGACCCACATGTAAAAAGACCAGAACAAGTCAAAAAAAAAAAAAAAAAAAGCACACTTCAAAACAAACAAGGAGCATAATAATAATATATGGCCTACATTGCTATAAAGTAGAGTTAGATACAATAATACAATAGAATTGGAAATATGAATCTTTCTCTATAAATATCTAGTTATAAATAGATCTAGTGAACTAAATAAATCTAGATCTAGATCTAGATCTAGTAGAACAAGTGAATAGGAATAGGCCTTGAATGAGAAATCCGCATCCGATTCCGAACAGAGGGACTCAGCTGAGTCTACCTAGGATTCTAGATCTAGAGTAGATTAATTAGATCATTATTCTAAGTAAATAATTCACGCACCTGATGAAATGCGTTTTACCAACATTAATATTTCTAGCACAACCTACGGTTTGACACAATAGAATTGGAATATGAATCCTCCATTGAGGTCTATAATGATCTATAAATCTAGATCTAGAGTAAAACAAGTGAGTCGGACTTGAAAGAATCCACATGATCTGAACTATCAGTAAACAAACGAAATTCAAAACGGCCGCTCGAGCACGAAACTGAAAGTAGATAATTTAGGTCGTCGTACTTTTTCGTATTCGTATTTCTACTCAGGTTCTGACAATTATGTCGGAAACGCCGACGTCGGCACAAAAACGAAAGCGGCCGGCTCGCGGGTCAGGTCGCGATTGTCGGATTTCAGACGATTGTCGGCAAACATGCAGGTCTATACAAGAGAGTAACATACACAAAATAGAAGGAGGACAGATCAGAACGATAGATGTTTGACAGGAAAGAAGGAGCAAACAACATCAGAGCACCCGCCAACCACCCACTTCCCAGTTTTTAAGCCACATAATTTCTGAGAAGAGACAGAAAAAGGCAAACAGCACTAACCCTGGTACGAATTATTCAGAACAAGGACCTGTGGGGAACAAGACACTTCTCCACAACTCCCTGGTGAGCTGTTAGGATTCCGGGACAAGTGGCTCTTCTCCGCAACTTCCTCTTCAAATCTGTCAGACGCATGCTCACTGGATCGTCTCATGTCCTCATCCAGCTGATGTCGCAGCATGTGCTTCCTCAGACTGCCACTCTGGGTGAACGTTTTGTTGCACTTCTCACAGTGGAATGGTTTATCACCTGAGAGCAATGACAGGAATGATGAGAGGTAAAAGCTCACAGCATGATGGTTCTCTTGTCTGAGTGCACGCACGTATTTCATATTCAGAGGCATGTATAAAAATTTGCAGGTTGTTACAGGGTGAACGTTTTGTTGCACTTCTCACAGTGGAATGGTTTGTCACCCGAGAGCAATGACAGGAATGATGAGAGGTGAAAGCTCACAGCATGATGGTTCTCTTGTCAGAGTGCACATATTTCATATTCAGAGGCGTGCATAAAAATTTGCAGTTTGTTACAAGCGCCACTAGTTGGCCCTACTGCTTTTCTTTCCATTTGTTGGTTTTCTGGAAGAGGCACCACTGGCAGGTCCTACTGCTTTTCTTTCCCTCTATTATTTTCTGTTTCGCCGGTGTTGTTTTTTTCCATGCACTAAATGATTGTTATTGTTTTGATTTTGATATATCCTTCTTTTTTTACTCAGACTAAAAACTCTATTTCGTATCTCAGTCTCTCAGTCTCAGTTATTCGCATCTAAGGTCTGTGTGTTTTATGTCTTTTGTTAAGATATTTCAAATCTTGACTCAAGTTATTCTTTTTTTCCATAATGCGTAAAATGTTATACCTTACCCTGGGTGATAGCCTCATTGCATTTTTCACAACTTACTGTTGCATAACTGTTACATCTTTTTTTAAAAAATACAGATATCTTACTTTCCCCTTAGCACAATTCAAATCATGTAGGAGGTGGGCTTTCACCTTGCCTGCCAGGACCAACCCGGGCTGAGAGTGAAACAGAAAGACAGAGATAATAAAAATTCTGCCCATACAGGAATCGAACTCAAGTCTTCTGCATGTGACAACAAAGCCCCTAATTACAAACACCACAGACACCAGTGTTGTTTATTCTGAGTTTGCATATTTTGTATCTTTAGTCTGCGTATTTCATATAGAATCTTCAGTCTGTGTATTTTGTAACCTTGGCTAGAATTCTTCGTATCATGGTCACAGGGTGTCAGGCAAAAGGAAAATTATCAATAGAAATATTCATTTAAAAATAGAAATGTATACAACGGCAGTGTCACGCATTCGGGGTTGAAATGCCATGCAATACAGCTCTAGGTGTGAATCGAAAAAGACTCCACAAAACGGCGCTCTAGATGCTAAATGGTTAAAACAAAATAATATTATCAAGAAAAGGCAAGGGCAACAAGCAAGGGAGATTACTTCTCCAAGTATTTTATGCAAAAGTATTACTACGGTTACATCCCCTCATCAAGAAGTACGCCCCAGTGCTGCATGAGCTGTGCATTTCTTGGATCAGATTTGTACCTTATTTGACAGAAACGGACAATTTTTATAATAATCTTAGATTCATAAGCACAACAGAGATGCCATTCCAAGACAAGATCAACAGACAGAAGATGGCAGTGCTCCAGTTACCAATACTTCACTGCTGTTGGTCAAATATGGAACTTTTCAGGCATGCAGAAACATTGTTATAAAAAGTGATTGGTAAGACGCGGCTGTCATCTCATGTCACCACTCCGATCCTGACGCCAGATGGTAAAAAAAACAAACAACAACAATCATCACCTAACGGGTAAGCTTAGTTGTTTCTCTAATTATAGAAAAGTACCTTGGAATGAGAGAACGGGGCAGGGAACACAACCGGCAGACAGAGAGACGAGAGGAGGAACAAAAAAGGAGAGGAAAGAATAAAAACACTATGATGCCAACATCCACCCTAAACAACTTGGTGTGTCGAAGAATATTTACCTGAATGTGTTCGCTTGTGTTTGCTCAGACTAGACTGCTCTGTGAACCGTCGGCTACAGTCACGATGATCACAGACAAAGGGTTGTTCACCTAAAGAAATGAAAGATGTCTATAATCAGTAAATACTTTGTTCTTCATTATAGTGCTGGGGGCAGGGGGGGGGGAGAGGTGGATTTATAAAAATACAGACCAGTGGGGGAAACTGTTTAGTTTAATCCCGTCATAGTGAACACCCCTGTGCATACGGGAAAATTGGACTTCAACACTAGCCTCAATAAAATACTACCCCCCCACCCCCAGCCTCTGCCACTTGATCTTTGTTCCACATTGTCATCACTACTATTTATACTTGATCTAGACCTTGATCAATATCCAGATGTAGAAGGACCAGCCACACCATCTTCTGTGAACTCATCACTACTTTCATTCCTTAGTATCGGACTCTAGCGATCAAATGTCTCCTTCTCCCTCACTGTTCCCTTCATTTTCACTTTCCCCGTAAATTATTGTCATCATTGCCTGAACCATTCATAACCTCATCAAAGGTTTCAATAGCTGAGAACTGAGGTCTATACTGATAACTCTTTTCCATAGTAACAAAGAGAAGTCAAGGAAATTGAACATGTGGTAGAAATACTCACAAAGAAATCAAACACGAACAAAAACCATACTTGAAATGGACACTACAAGGCAGGGGAACTAACTCCAGTAATTAATTTTTGCATTATCAGTGTAGAACCCCTTTTACTGTATGTTAATTTCGACACCTCACAGGCCTGAGAAATTCTCAGATTCCATGGCCTACAAGCTTAGTTTCGTGAAATTCTCGGGGCAAGGCAGTCAAGGGGTTAAGATTTGTGCTTTAAACTCCTGTCTGGAAAAGATTTAAAAAAAAAAAAAACCTATAAAAAGTATTTCTTCTACTCTTATCAAAAACATCACAAAATAAATAAAATGTATTAAAACCAACTACAGTCAACCAAGGATGAGTTCATGTCCTCAGGGAAGTGGAAAATAAATCAACTCATCCGAAGTTAAACTTAACCATTAGGAATGGTAAACTTGAGTTTAACATTAGGCTACACTACATGCACCAATTCAGAACAACAACAAAATAATACATCAATGCTGTTTACCAAGAGCTGTTACAGCCATGTATGGCTATTAAAAATATTTAAAAATGGTAAAGGTAAAGTTGGTCCCCCATTTCGAGCTGCTGAACCTAATGAGCAACATCTGAGATCACTATGGGGGTCGCAGTGAGATTGGTGGTAATTTTTTTAGGAACAGGAAATTGCTGGCTGTGATCATCAGGAGGCAAGAGTGGGAGGGGTGCGTGTGAGTCAGTGTGTGTAATGATAATACTAATTGCATTTATATAGGGGCATATCCATGCTCCACAGAATGGTCTTTGCACTTAACAACTATTATCCCCCAGCAGACCCTAGAACACTCAGAGACATTCAGTGTTCTTGTCTTCCCAGGAAGCATACAGTGCAAGCAGCGGATTGCATGTGTTCAAACACTAACAAACCGACAAGATCTTTCGCTGTCTATAGCTGATCTTATCAGAGTGAAATGAGGAAAATTCATGTAGTGCTTTTCCCAAGGACACAACATCAGACCCATGACAGGAGTAGAGCCCACTCACTTATAGTTGCTTGTATGATAGCCTAACAAATTAGCCACCAGCCCTACTTTTAAGGGGAGGTGGCTAATGAAAATGCCAAAACTCAGTTCCAACCATTTTGTAGCCACTTTGTATGAATCAATGGATACATACACTTAAAAAAAAGAGGTTTTGTGAAATAAAAAATTCATTTTTTATTTTTTCGTTCTTGTGGCGGCAAAAAATGGCGCTGATTCAGCAAAATTTCTTTATAGTTTATAAACAGTGTTTCTACAAAACCAATAAAGATAGAAGCTTCATACTTGGTATATATGTTATATATTGCTTGCTTCT